CAAAAATAGATGCGCCTTATTGGCTAGACCAGCCTCCATAAGGGTGCTGATGGGAGTTGAAGAAAGCAGTACAGAACGGCGGTTAAGCAGGCAGCTTCTCCAGTCACACTTTCCTTCACTTTCTGGCTGCGAAATCGACATCGTTGGCTCCCTACTAACTTTCTGAAATTACATTTCTTAAATTAGTATTGCTAACAGCATCCATCTCGAAGGGTGGATCAGAGGTTAAAAGAGAATGATACACACAAAGTCCTTAGCATACTGCCTAGCACACAGTAAGTGCTTAATGAATGCTCGTAACTACAACAAGTACGTGGACACAATGTCCTCACTCCTATACTCAAAAGACAAGATACAACAATTTTTAACTTTTCTAACCAAAAGACAGTCTCTAGGATGGGGAAGTGAAAAGTTCAGCAATTCTACTTTGAGGCTCCTCTCAACTGGTCATAGCAGAAAGGGCACCTGGAACGGGCCAGCCACGTCTGGACATAGGCCACAGCAGGCTGCATGCCTGGTGATCTCCCCAAGTACTGTCTACTAAAACTAAAAGCCACACTTTGTACACCCTTCGGGCCCCCTGCAGCACACTTAACAATGCCTTCCACCAACTGGGCTTCCATAAATGTGCGTTAGACTTTCTGGGTTTGTGTATATTTCATTCCTTTCCCCTACACTTGCTCTTTTCCAGAAAGAAAAGCAAGAATAAACCGAACACAGGAAAAAATATGAAATAGGCTTTACAAGAACACCTCAGAATATTCCCACTGGCAGCCCCAAATCTTGCTTATCTATGTTAGCTAGCAAGGTAAAAGATGTTTCCCTAATATTTGAGTAAGAACCTCTCTTCACTTCTTCACAGCCTAGGGAGTACGTAAGAAAAAAAGGAGGAAGAGTTCAGAGAAGCCTTTAGGGAGCCAATAAGGAGAGAGTGCTGCTTGGCTCCAAGCTGTTTCCAACCTGGGAATCCCAGATGTGCCAAACTTGGGGAGCAGGTCAAGGGTAGGAAAGAGTCATGGGATTGAATGTAGAAGGGAACACACAAGACAGCCTGGTCAGCATCAGATAAGTCTTCAAGATTTATCTCTAGAGTTCAGTTATATTTTGGAAGATTTTCAAGGGGTGTGATTATGTCTTGATCTACTTTCTTGTCTATGGTGGACATAATGTCAGGCATGGATTAATGTTTAATCAATATTATGGTCTGACGCTCTTATTGCTAAAACCTAGGAAATGAACTTAGCAATGCATATTATTTTTCCAGACACAGAAATCTGAACATAAATCTTGCCTGGATGAAAAGAAGGCTTCAAAATTTTGACTTACACTGATATCTGTGGTGTATGCAATTGTGAAACTAGCCCTGATTTTGCAGGTTTCAGTGGCTTAGTTGGCTTTTAGTGTACACATTCCCATAAACATGCTTCAATTCTGTTTACACTGCATGCATAAAAGATGATTACCATCAGTATTCTGGTATAGTATATACCAGTTCTATCTTACCAGTTGTACACAGAAAATTATTATAGCTTAAATTGAAAATCCAATCTTTAATGAATCACTCAAAAAACTCTTTTCTAACGAGGCAAGTTGCTAGAAATACAATGGCAAGCAATAGGCATGGCACACATTTCAAAGAGCTTACTGTCTAGAAGATCTTTTTAATTAAAATAGAATAACAATTTCTATGATAGTTTTGCATCGTGCCAAGTTAGCCGAATTGATCTACATTTCCCAGAATTCCTTTTTCTGTAGTACTCCCTTTAGGGTTTGCCACAAGAGCTATCTGATGAGTTTTGGAAGGCATAATTGAAACTGCAGCCTGACTGGTACGTTGTTGGGCACCAGGTAGTGTTGCAGCTTGCACACGACGTCACTAATAGGCTGGATCACCACACTGGCAAGGGGCAGTACCTAGCTTGATGCTCTTCAGATCCTGTGGCATCTTCTTTGATTTCTCCAATTCTTGGGCCAGGTGTATGAGCAGCAACTTCTGCAAGTCATCCATGTCCATGATGTTGGAGGCAGTGTTAAGCAGACCTCGGTTCCAGTTTGTCCTTGTTCTCCCCTATTTCATATGCAGCTTTTCCATAGTAGACTCTGCTGATCTACAGTGACTTCAGGGCCTCACAGAATCCAAGGTGATAGCCTTACATAGACCACAACAGCTTACACACGTGTGTAAGATCTAATTCCTATATTAAATATCTTACTCTGTATCTCTCACGGTGGTTCTGCTTCCCTGATTAAACCCCAAACCCTGAGCGATCAATTACCTATATTTTATAAGCACATAGGCTTTGAGGACAGACAGAACAGAGTTTATAAACTTTTCAGTGAAGAAATGGTTTTAAACACATGGCCATGTAATATCAGTGTTTACCAATCTGAGGAAGAGACGTGCCAGCTGTCAGCTGAAACCATACATCTTGGCAAGTGCGAACAGTTAAATTCCAAAATACCAGTCCAAACCTTCTCTTTTCTTCCCCTCAAATCTACTTTCTTTTCCCCAAGTATTAGCTATGAGAGGCATAAAATAATGGCAATAGGACCAAATTCCAAAGAAGGAAATCTGAATTTAGGACTTCCACAGCACAGCAACATACCTGGAGTTAAGATGTCTTCTCCACCGTCAGCTCTAACAGTGGTTACAGAGACTCCAATTTTTATAAGAAACTGTTCAACTTGCTGTGACAGATATTAATATGAAGACATTCTCTTTCATGAGCTCATATATGAACCAATTATTTACAATTCAGGGTTTGTTTGCATTTAATTCCTACCTGGCAAGGGATTCTTTTTTCCTCCCTGCAAACCTACAGAGGGAGTTGATTACTCACAGAAGCAACAAATGCCTTTCTCAGAGAGGAAGGTTAGTCCATCATTAGGCTGACTGGATCCAAACACACTTAAGACACTTACAGAATACAGACCGGTTGTTGATGGAAGATGGATGTTTTGAGGATTGAAGTATTTGCAGCTAGTTGAGCTAACAAATGTAGAGATCACTTGGGAAAGGTCACAGAGTACTGAACTCATCTTTTTTCTGTCTTTCTTTTTCCACTAGACTACACACTTCCTAAGGGCAGAGGCCATGAGTCTTAGTTTTCTTTGCGGCTCCATCAGCTACAAAGAAAAGGTACCTGGCATATAGGAAATGCATACTAAGTTATTTTCCCAACTAAAAAGACCCAGTTCTTGTTAAAGAGGAAACAAATCCATACATATTTTTAAAGAGACCCTTAAATTTACTAAAGACCAAGTGGTCTTAAAAGGCCAGGAAATACTCCTCTATGAAGGAGTTAGTCTCATGAAGCTGGTCAGACCTGCTCAGTCAGCTTACTGCACTCATTTTCCCAGACAAAACAGAAATAATATATGGAACCAGGAGAAGATTCCAAATTCTCCAGGATCTGGGCCAGGCCATTTAGGATTATTTACCTCTCTCATTCCACGTGGGAATTTTGGAAAGAGAACATAACTAACCCCTTTTTAAAACTACTAAAATCACAAAGTGCAGCAACAAAAACTATAACTACTGAGCTGTCATCTACAAGTATATTTTGAAATTTCCAGATAGTTGCCAAAGAGGAAAAGCTGACACCAATAATAGCCAAAGACACCTACAACTTCTGTACATTCATTCTCAGCAAGACCTTTTGTTCCTAGGTGTACCTGGAGAACACCACCTTCTCCAGTAGCAGAGGAGAAGCTTCACTTAGTAAACTCAGCTATGGAGCCCAGTCATCCAGCACCAAGTGCATACAAGGTTAGAACCTCTTGTATCCCTATGGTGGGCATCTCCTCTGACCAGGCTTCAAGACTGACATTCAACAGGGTTCCCTGCTGCCCTGCCTTCACATTGGTCTTCTCATTCTTTATGCTTCCCCTGAGCAACTGATACGTTTACTACAGTTTGATGATCATCCCTCCCTGTCCCTGAGTGGTACACTTGTATAAATAATAATAGATAACCTATTAGTCATCTTCACTCGAATTTCCAGCATTCAACAACAAATGATTTCTTGAATGCCTAGAATGTACTGGGCTTGGGATATATCCAGGAACAAAGCACAGACCCCTGCCCTCATGGAGCTCCCACTCCAAGGACATGCTTGCTGAACTCAGCATTCTCAAACAGAACCCTCCAGCCTCCTGGCCACTGTTCCACTGCTCTGTGCCTCTTCTGTTAACAGCATCACCATTCACCTACCAGCTTCCTTGCCACCTCATCCCTCCTAGGTACCAAATCCTACCAGGGTTACCTCTGACAAGCTCTCAAATCATGGACTCAACTGTATGCTCTCAACCCAGCTGCTTCAAGCCTCTTTTGGTCTCTTATTGGCCCTTCTCCCCAAGGTCCCTCCCCCTCAGCCTATTTACATGCTGCCACCACAGAGGTTCTCTGAAACAGATATCTGAGTATATCACTCTCCTCCTGTGACCATTCTCCATTGCTCAAAGGATTCCAAGACCTCTGCCATCTGGCCCAGCCTCCACTATCAGACTTATCTTCCACTACAGGCTGAGTTCCAGTTATACCTCACTGAGGACCCCAGATTCACTCACTTCCCTGCCTCAGCCCTCCCTCCTTCTCCTAGCCTGTTAAGTCCTTACTCAACCTTTAAGGACCAGCTCAACTGACATCTCTTCTTGGAAGATTTCCTCTATTCAAGCAGGCAGTTAGTTGCTTCCTCCTGCAAGTCAATGATGACATTGTACTGATCTGCTTTCTGCCTTGCCTCCTCCCCAGGCTGAGAACTCAATGAACTCCAGGATCATGCTGTGCATGTTGAACTACCCCAGACACTCCCCAGCTCCACTCAGCACCATGTCTGGCATGCAGGAGTTGCTCAAATAAACAGCTGTTCATTTTGGGTAATCCTCTCACATTAGAGGTAAAAGCCTTTTGCTTACCAGTAAGGATTCTCAGTTCACTAGCAAGAATTTTCCTTTTTCTAGGCACAGTAGGTATTAGATTAAATGTGGTAATCACTCACTTCACTTCTGGAAGCAACAGCCCGGTGCAGTGGGGTCAGCCACATGTTGTCCTTGGCATTTACACGAGCTCCTGGAATCAAATAGCACAAGTTAGAGTCATGCTGGAGTCAAAGGAAACCCTGCTGACGTTAAGTTAAATGCTGTATCTTGCTCCCATTTGCCTGACATAACCACCACCTCTTCTTTTCTTTGTATTATCATGTTCTGACAAGATTTAGGGCTGAGGGGACCAGCAGAAATCTACTTTATCTAAAAATCTGGGACTGGCCAGATATTTTGGCAAAAAGAAGCCAGTTTCCATGAGGCTTTTGGACAGATAGGACATGAGGCCTATAAATTGCTCACTAATTTCTCAAGCTATGGGGTAGACAGACAGGCTCAAGCATGAGCCCAAACTGGCTCACACTCAGAGGTGTGCCCATGCTCAGCTCTATGAAACTGTGCCATCATCATGGAACAGAAGCTCTCTGCAAATGAATTCACAGAAAGCAGAGTTTGCCCGCCTTCCATGACACCCTCACCATTCTCCATGACCACCAGCGCACCAAGTCTATGTCTAAACAGCTAAGACATTGATTATAAGCTTCCTTTTAGGGAAGTCCTTTTAGAGGGAATCAGGGTTTTGATTAGTCGTCTGGTCAGAGCTGGGATGTTTTATAAAAGGGCTACAAAAGGCAAAGAGGAGAAAATAAGTATGATATCCTTGTAGAAGCAGTAGAGAAGTCAGCTCTAGCCTTAGGATGATGAGGAAGGAAGCTCATGAGGACGGAGAGGGGAGAAATGAATCAAAGAAACTAGAAAGTAAGGCAGAGAAAAGGAAACACAGAGGTGGCGCCTCAGGACAAGGGCTGAGAAAGTGAGTCAAGGGGAAGCAGGGGCTGACTAATCTCCATGAGGCCAAGGCCAGCTGATAGCTCGAAAATAGAAACTTAAAAAAAAAAAAAAAAGGTAGTGGACTTTCATGCATAAAAATGAGCTAGAGGTTTAGTTTAAGGCACTGGCTAAGAGGAAATAACAAATCATAGAACTTACACTATTTTTTTCTTTAACTGAAGAAGAACAAATGCCATCAACGGCATTAATCATAGAAAACAAGAGCATAATCCCTAAAACAAAGAGAGGTGGAATGCCTCCCCTCCAACCTCCATTTTTATTTCATTGGTTTCAGATGGGGTCAGGTACAAGGGTTATGGTACTATGCTGTCAAGGTTGAGAGCCACTGATGAATTGTTGCTTAATTTATCCAGGTCAAAATTATTTAAATCCTAATTCCACTAACACCAGCTTGCCTGAAGGAATTCAAGCTCCTTATGTCAGTAAGGGCAAAAAAATCAGTTTTGGTGTGCAAAATCAGTAGGCATCTCTGGCCTCAGTAACAGGAAGCTGTGGGCTAAATGCTCTGGCATGAAATGAATGTGGGTTTGGAAGGACAGCGGGATTCATGGTCAGAAGATGTAGATTTGAGTTCTGATTTCAGCCACTAATCTGAACAATGAGGCTAACAACAACAGTATTAATACTTCTCCACCCACTTCACCTAGGGAGAATTAAGTGAATAGGAAAGTGCTTCATAAACTGCAAAGCACTAGAAAAATATTAACGGTTCTTATTTTCAAATCACCTCTAACGTGTCATTCACCTCTAAATCTATGACTCAGATTTTCAAAGAGAGTGAAAGGCATGACCCTTGCCCTACAAAGAAAGAGACCAAATATGAGATTGAAAAACACAGAGAACCATCACCTGGAGACTGCCCAAACACAAATCTTTTTAAGAGCAAGAGAGACTCAAGTGCTAGAGAATGCTAGAAAGAAGAAAACCCAGATGTGATTAAGAACAGTAAAATCGGTGAATTTTAAAACACAATTACCACTACCAAAACCAAATTTTAGATTTCTTCTTCTAAATCTTAGCTCCAACACATTGTCAGGTGATGGTCACAAAGTCTACCTTTCTAGTTTAGAAACAAAGCATGTATCCCTTCAGCTCTTCCAACACTCTGGATTCAAACCTTTTAAAATTACCCATCTTTTTGTCAGGACTTTTCTTGCATCATAAATACATAATTTATGGCCACATTGTGTGGTAGATTTGACCACACTGTGTTTCTATCTAGTGAGCCAAGTGTACGTTTGTTTCTTATTTGGGGGCTGTTTTTTTGGCACCCGTGCCACAAACATCACTCAGGCCTTATGCAGTCCTAGAGAACTGGAACTACTTTTATTATAGTCTTTGGCAGAGTAAATTTTGTGCTTTAAATTTTTTGTAAATTCAAAAAATGAATGCAAGAAGAAACCCAAATGGCAAGACACATATGGAAAGTTACTTCTCAAAATTCATCAGGGAGAAGCAAATGAAAGCAGCATTAACATACCATTTCACATCCATCAAATTGGTAAAAATGATAAAGTGTGACAATGTCAAGATTTAGCAAGGGTATGGAGCAACAAGAAAACTTAACATACAGCTGGCAAGAGTGAATTGGTAAACCTCCTTTGGTAAACAATGTGGCATTACCTAGTGAAATAGATGACATGCACACCCAACCACCTAGCAGTTCCACCCCAATCATATATCCTAGAGAAACTCTAACACATGTACATGAATGTTCACCACAACATGTTTATGACAATAAGAAATTGGAATCCTAAATGTCAATCAAGAGGAAAATGGATAAATAAGTTGTGGTATATTTGTACAATGGAATTCTACACTGTCATGGAAAGGAACAGCCTGAAGTTCTATATATATAAACAGATGTACTTTAAAAATCATAACACCAAATGAACAAATCAAGCTGCAGAATTATACCTATGGCATAATACCAGTTGGATTTCTATAAGTTGTTTATAAATGCATAAATATGAAATAAAAGTTTAAAATATAGCTAAAGAGTATAAATACCAATTCTGGATAATGGTTATGTCTAGGGAAAGAGGAGTATGAAAAGGAATGAAGTAAGAGTACCCAGAGAGCTGCAACTGTGTTTTCAATGTTTTGTTTCCTTAAAAATACATATATAATGCAAATATGGCAAAATATTAAGAGTTCTTAAAATTTAGTGGAAGGTATATGGATATGTACTATATTATTCTCCATACTTTTCTGTATGTTTGAAATATTTTCTAACAAAATACTTTTAAGAAAGCTAGTGCATTTGAAGTTTTATGTTTCTTAGTGAAAATAATGGGGAGAGAAAATAATGGACTAAGCTGCTTTTTTTTTTTTTTTTTTTTTTTTTCCTGAGACAGAGTCTCACTTTGTCACCCTAGATGGAGTGCAGTGGTCCAATCCTGGCTCACTGCAACCTCTGCCTCCCAAGTTCAAGTGATTCTCCCGCCTCAGCCTCCCATGTAGCTGGAATTACAGGTACTTCCCACCATGCCTGGCTAATTTTTATTTTTTTAGGAGAGACGGGTTTTGCCATTTTGGCCAGGCTGGTCTCAAACTCCTCAGTTGATCCACCTGCCTTGGGTGCAAGTATTTGCCTAGAATAGATGATTTAAAATGGACTTTGTGTCATGGGTAATACACAGTTTTGGTTTCAAAAGGTCCTGTAAACCCTCCAAAGTGTGCCGGTTTACGACCTCAGAATGTATGATTGCTTAGTTTCTCCATATCCTCAACACTTGATGTTATCAGACATTAAAATTTTTTTTTTAATTTTTAGAGACGGTCTCACTCTGTCAGTCAGTTTGGAGTGTAGTGGTGTTATCATAGCTCACTGCAGCCTTGAACTCCTGGGCTCAAGCAATCCTCTAACCTCAGCCTCCAGAGTAGCTAGGACTGCAGGTACATGCCACCATACCCAGCTAATTTATTTTTGTGGAGATGGGGTCTTGCCATGTTTCCCAGGCTGGTCTCAAACTTCTGCCCTCAAGTAATCCTCCTATTTCAGCCTCCTAATGTGCTAGGATTACAAGTGTGAGCCACCATGCCCAGCCAGACATTTTAAATATTGCAAATCTGAGTCAATAATACTGTATTATGCACTTAAACATTTGTTAAGAGGGTAGATCTCATGTTAAGTGTTCTTACCACACACACCTTAAAAAAACCCCAAAATAACAAAACAAAGGGACACGAGGAAAATTTTGGAGGTGACAGAGATATCTATTACCTTGCTTGTGGTGATAATTTCATGGGTGTTTGCATATATCCAAACTCATCAAGCTGTAGACATTAAATATATGCAGCTTATTGTATATCAATTATACTTCAATAAAGCTGCTTTAAAAACAGATAAATAGGCTGGGCATGGTGGCTCATGTCTATAATCCCAGCACTTTTGGGAGGCTGAGGTGGGCAGATCACCTGAGGTCAGGAGTTCAAGACCAACCTGGCCAGCATGGTGAAACCCTGTTTCTACTAAGATACAAAATTTAGCCAGGCATGAGGACGGGAGCCTGTAATCTCAGCTACTCTGGAGGCTGAGGCAGAAGAATCACTTGAACCTGGGGGGCAGAGGCTGCAGTGAACTGAGATGGCACCACTGCACTCCAGCCTGGGTGACAGAGTGAGATTCCCTCTCTAAAAAATAAATACATACATTCAGACATACACACATACATACATACATATCTGATTGAGAAAAATATAGCATCTTATTCTTTTAGTCTCCGGTCTAACAATACAGCTGGACATCTAATATGTTTGATTACTAGCCATTTGTAATTCATTTTCTGAAAATTACTTGTTCATATTCTTTGCATACTTCTCTTATTTTTCTGTTTCTTCTTATTTATATTTATACACTTTTATTATTATTATTATATTGTATTCTGAAAAATTTTAGTTTTATGCATATCCAAATTTGGCTTTCAATATTAAAAATATTTCAAGGAGAAAAATGATCCCACACATGCTGGGCCTCATACATACAGTGACACATACCCAGGGTGTAACGACACCAGCATCGTTCACGTGTCACTTCAAGAGTCCCTTGAGAAATGTAAAGGTGATTAGAAATGCAGGCAATGGCTTCTTTCAGTCAGTGTTTAAGTCCTCCCTTCCTCCACTTCTCCTTCTCATGGAGGTTGAATAGGCAGCTGCCAGGAAAACCTCCTCTCCCCCATAACAAAAATTTTTATAACAAAAGCAGTTATCTGAATGGAGACCCAAAAAGCATTTCATCAGTGTCATCTCTTGCTGCCAGCTTCCTCATCCTCTTCCTCTGAACACTTTCAAGAGTCTTGTTTACATGTCAGAAGGAGATGTCAGATGGTTTTGGCTCTGAATTGAATATTTATAGCTGATTTTTCTAAAGGAAGCTTCACATTATTTACCTGCCTGTCAGGCACCATTGTGCACTGAAGGACACAGTCTGCATGTCTAATGATTTAAAGGCAAATGCTTTTTTACCCAAGGACATGTTAAAGCTTAAACATAAAAATAAGTGATGCGGTACACGGATTCTTCAGAAACAAAGGCCCAACCCATCAGGCATAATCTGTAATTACAAACTAAGGATGTTCTTCATCTTATCCCTATTACCTCTTAATTTTATTTTCATAGAGATCAAAGGTAAAGTGAACTCTGGGCATCTTTTCCAGAGGCAATATTTCTGTTCTGTAAGCCATGTCATCTAGGAAGAAGCGGAATAAAGAAAACAGAAGTGGTGTGATAAGGGTAGACTGAGTGTGACTGAAAAATCTCACAAGCCGAAGAGAATAATTTCTTCCTAAGCTTAACTTATCCAAAGTTTGGCTTTTAATTGTTGAAATAAACATGATAGGTCATAAAAATATGATTATAATATAATGAAATCAACTTGCTATTGTTTTTTTTAACAAATCAAATCTTACAGCACCAGAGCACTTCAAAACAATTACCTTAAAAGAGGGATGATAATTCCATGAATGTGACAATTGCTCAAAACATTTAACAAACTCTCCTTGGGAGTTGCCTTTATGGCCAATTTACACACCCACCAGAAAATGGCTTATTGCTTGATAATTGCACCACATTTGTAGGCCAAAATCAGCATTGCCTGGTTGAATCACCCATCTTTCACCAGATAAAAAAATACAAAATTCATCCTCAAAGGGTATTTCTTATATATAGGGAATCAAAAGACTGATGTGCCACCAGGTCTAGAAATAATTTGCATTGACAGTAGTAAGCACATTTGAAAATTTATAGGAAATAATTTTGCAGGACTACCACTTGGGTTGCATAAATTCTATGGCCAGGTGTGGTGGCTCATCCCTGTAATCCCAGTACTTTGGGAGGCCAAGATGGGAGGATCACTTGAGGCCAGTTTAAGACCAGTCTGATCAACATAGCAAGACCCCATCTTTTAAAAAAAAAAAAAAAGTAAATTAAGATTTAAAAAATAAATTTTAATAAATTTTACTTAGTAGTTACACCTCACAAACACTCCTGTATTGGAGAGTACTTCCAGTTTTCATCTTTTAACCCAGAATCCTATAATCCTTACTTGTCCTCAAAGTTTTTTCTTTAGGATCTTTTTTTCCTTTTTTTTTTTTTTTGAGATGGAGTCTCACTCTTGTCACCAAGGGTGGAGTACAGTCGTATGATCTTAGCACACTGCAACCTCTGCCTCCCAGATTCAAGCAATTCTCCTGCCTCAGTCTCCTGAGTAGCTGGAATTACAGGCACCCACCACCACATCCTGCTAATTTTTGTATTTTTCAAAGAGATGGGGTTTCATCATGCTGGCCGGCTGGTCTCAAACTCCTGACCTCAAGTGATCCTCCCGCCTCAGCCTCCCAAAGTACTGGGATTACAGGCGTGAGCCACCACACCTGGCCTCTGTAGGATATTTCTACTGTTGTCCTTTTTCTGGGTGCTCTGCTTCCTATATCTCAGCCCTAGTATCTTAACTCTTAGCCACTGACTGATTCTCACTGATCTCTCTGACTTAATCCTGATTCGGCCAGTTCCCTAACAGCAGCTAGAGTCAGGAGGGAAATAAAGCCAGACTTTGGACTGGCAGTTGTGAGACGGTGAAATTTGCAAGGCCTGAATTCTTCCCCAAGACCTTGTCTTCCCAGTCTACCCAGAGGCATTCAGGGTTCTATCCACCTTGCCAACAGGACATAACGCCAGCAGGACTTTAGCAAGCTTGGGTTACACCATGCTTTGTAAGTTTATACAACAATAGAGAACACAGCTGTAATGGGCTGTTCTGGCAAGGCCAAATTATTTGTCCAACATGGGAATCGTTAGCACCTCATTCATTATTAAATTGGGTAACAGTTTGGTTGGATTCCCTAAAGGGTCAGTTGCCAAATGCGAGCTCAGAGATGAAATCATCATGCTCTTGTAATATTAGGAATTTAATATATAAATTGAGTAGAGGACCTTTCAGGAAAAATAAAAGCCATGTGAATTCCAAGAATATGCCTCAGCTTCCACAGGTAAATAAAATTATTAAGAAAGAAAACTTTCCCAATGCTCCTCCATGCTCTAAGTCTTCCTAATTTGATGGGAGGGAAGAGGAAATTTTCCATAGCACAGTGAACCAAAGTTATGCTAAAGAGATTAAGAGTTCGGAAATTCCAAGACCAAACAAGTAAACAGATTAAGATATATGCAACAGCTTCTCCCAGCTCTACTAAATCAGCCAGAGTTGAAGAGAGGCTGGTGGATTCTATGCCCATGTGAAGGTGATGTGAAATCATGTTTGTCAATCAGTGGCCCCAGATACCTGAAAAAAGAGATTGGGTTGACTTCATGCTGCAGAATTAAAATCTTCCCTTTCAGATGTAGAAACAACGACAACACAAATTTGGTGTGTAAGACAAAGTTTTGAATTTGTACAGTCATGAAATGAACATTCCTCTGAGACTCTGAGAGGTCTATTAATATAACATTTAAGAGGTGGGTATAGCTGATGGGGACCATTAGATGTCATACCACAAAGTTCTTTATTTTATACCTTCACCGATTCTGCCTACAATTTTCCATGGGCCAAACTGCCACTGCCAGGGAGACCAGCTAGCTGTGTACTGGCCCTTGGTCTGTGCCAACACCAAATAATACACGTTTGTTTGGAACATGACCCTGGGATGTCTTTAGATTTGCTGGAAGAAAGGCCTGTTCTCAAAAGCACAATAAATGCCATGCGAAATCTAACCTAAGCTCCATATGACCATCAGGAGCATGGGGCACACATGTTTTGAGGCACAGACACTTGTTTCCTGGGGAAACCCACCTCAAGAACATGAACACAACAAAATAAGGGCCATGTTGCTTATACATCACTGCACAATTCTTGTTTCTCACCACATCTGCATGAATGCATGTCTCAGCTCCTACCTCTGCAGAGCTTACTTTAGGATGCTACAGTTCCCCTTTACTTACTGCAAACAAAGGCAGAAGCTTATTATAGGCCTTTGGACTAGTCCGTAGGCAGGGGTACTTCCTCTAGATGTTAATCTCTAAAACATAAAGGAGGAAGAAGAAAGACAGCCTGTCTGTGAACAATCTACAGTGAGACATTTGCACATGCTCAATTCATTCCAGGACTTGTCTAGCAAACACTCAAGGGAGAAAGTACATAATGGTTTTGGAAACCTGTTTGGTGAGATACACTGAGCATATAGGTTCCCCAAAATAAAACCACTGGCATTTTAAAATCTGATGAAATATTTTAAATACATTGAAAAATAAAGAGGATAATATCACAAAGACCAGTAAAACACAAATCAGACTTAAACGTTTGCCATACTCTCTTCCAATTTTTTAAACATAAAATATTTTATAGAGAGTTGTAGTAGTTCTTTTATAGCCTTCCCTGAAGACCTTTTTTTTTTACTCAACCTGCCTACTTAGAGGTAACCACTATCCAGCAATCAATATGGTTCCTCACCTTCCATGTTTTTATACTTTTATGACATAGTCATAGTCATGTATCCATAAGCATAACAGTATTGTCTTACAGCCCAACTTAAATATATGTAAATATACAAACACATTTACTTGGCATATAAATCTAGGGTGTGCATATATATGGCATATATACAGTATGCATATGTAAAATAGCATATATAGTGTATATTATAGTGTTTACATAGAATGTATATATCATATATAGTATATACATGCTAAACATAGTGTTTATATAGCATGTTTATATAGTGTGCATATATACTTACTATATGTAGTGTGTATAAGTTTATGTTCATGTAGACTTTAAACTAGTTTTATTTCCTTTTTTATAATTTTTTTAAAAAGCAAAATATATCCAAATGTATTCATCTACAATGAACTGAATTCATCTACAATGCTGGGCCTGACCAGATATCCAGGAATCAGACTTTCAAAGCAATATAAAAATTTTAATGGAGAAGTCATTTTTCAATAAGAACAACTTCTTGCATTTTCCTTTATGTAAAGATAAAATTGCCTATCAAATAAACTTCCATGAACATAACAAAAGAAATTTGCTTGGGTTCACTGTAGTAGTCAATCTAGTAAACTGCTTATTCAAACTTTTATTTGCAATTGCCTTTTGAATATATTGATTATTTACCTGATAAAATCAGGAGTTCAATGATCTCTGCGTCTCCCAGAAATGCAGCCACATGAAGGGGGGTTCGTTTCTCAGAATCCTGAAATACACAACGTCAAAGACACACAACAGGTCAGTCGCAGCTGGAGGTCCCTTTTATAGACTTAGTAAGACATGTCACTCACTCTGTGGTTAATGCATGTGGAAGAGCGTGAAGACCAAACATTCGAGTGATTTCTGGTTATGTATTTTCTCTCAACACACCCTCTAGTTACACATAAGAAAGGATTCCATTTCTGTGTCTGTGTTTGGAATTTGGCTACTCGCTCCTTTTACTGAAGCCCAGCTCAGGTCAAAAATGGACCATTATGCACTGGATGATGAATTTCAACTTACAGTATTTCCAAACCTTCAGATGGTTAAAAAAAAAAAAAAAAAAACTAAACTAATCTACTATAGCAACATAATTCAATAGTTATTTTCAAACACATATGCCATACATATGCACACCCTAGATTTATATGCCAAGTAAATGTGTTTGAGAAAACATCGCAGTTCAAAGTTATTTTCTTTCTAAGGAAACATAGTGGAATGGTTCACAAGAACATTAAACATTAAACATAAGTGTGGTCATTTTCTCTTTTCTATGTTTGTAATTGTTCATGAAATACTTATTGAATGTTTACTCTGTGCCAGGAACCCAATTTTGGGGACAGAGGGATGATGACTGCAATAGGCCTGGTCTCTACCCTCATGAAACTCACATTCAAGTGGGAAGGCTGACAATAGTATACTGGATAACACATGGGATTACTTCTGATGGTGACAGAGGTTATGACAAAACTAAAACACGATATGGGATTCAGTGATTGAGGAGATGGGAATAAGAGTAGTTGGAGATGCCTTCTGAGGATGTCAACATTAAGGTTGAGAGCTAAAGTTGATATTATCTCTGCTTTATAGATAAGAAGACTGTAGCTCAAATTTTAAAATTTCTTCAAGATTCCACAGGCATATAGCATAGTCAAGATCTGACCTTCACCTAGCAGACTCCAGTCTGTGTCTTTGGCAAGGCATTTAACAGATTGTACTAAGAGGCAGCATGGTAACGTGCAAAGAAAAAAATGTTGCTTCCTCATCTGTAAATTGCTGATAATAACATCTACCTTAGAGGACTGATAAGAGGAATAAAGATCCTGTAAGTAAATAAAGCCCTAGGCAAGCAGGAGATAAGCGCAAAGCAGTGCTCCATACTAAGCCCGTTATTGTCAACGCATGGAGAGTTGTGTGATATCTCTCCCCCAAGACTGAAAACTTCCTGGAGTAAAGAATCAGCCTCACTCTTCTTAATCCCCATGGTATCAGCATACTTGGTACTCAGCATAAATTGGCTCAACTAACTCATTTACATGTATAGCTTCTTCCACTAACTTCCATTGACTAATCCATAGCAACGGTAACCAAAGCCCATCTGCTATGTCTTTAAGGTTTCTCCTAAAACTAGCATGCCTGTTAGTTTCATGGTTCTTGGATTCACTGTTGATTTTAATCATTATTCCATTTATAATTTGATTATAACTTTAATAACCCTTGATTAGCCCAAGGATATGACTCCATTTTCTGATAATCCAGACCCTCTGCTCTTCCTCTGTCTCTCAGATTGTTTCTTTTAGACTTTTCATGACTCACTAATATCTAAAACAGATGGCAGGCAGGGGACATGACAAAAATTGATCTTCAAGCCAGTCTATTTGTTAGAAAGTCTGGTAAGTAGGTTTTATAAAGAACGTGCTAACATTAAGTAGACAAAAAGGAGTTTGGATTCACTGGAAACTCCTGTTGTCTATGCATGGCTGCAGGCAACTACTATGGAAAAGTGAAAATAGGGCTGTCACACAACTATAAAATAATGGTATGCATTGGAAAATTCAGCATGATATATTACTATGATCAAGCTTGTTATAGATATATCACCCTATCTTTGAAAATGAAGATTCAGTATTTGAAATCATGTTTGCTTATTGAGAATCAAGTATATTAATTTGTACAATGAACTATATAAGCTGAGAACAGATTCTCACAAATGTTTTTTATTTGTTGATATACCTAGATGTATTTTCCATTTTAGCCTCAATGTTCCTTTTGAATACTCACTATATCTACTTAAATTTATCTACTCAAATTTTTGGATAAAAGCTATGTAATTATATGTTCTTTTGTGAACTGACTTGGTTTCAGGGTTTGTTTCAACACATTAAACCCTAAGTGATTTAAACAGGGACTATTCCAACCCAAATTATGACTTCATTTGACCTGAAGCAAAGGCAACTCTGTTTGAGATCTTGGCCTCAAATAAAAAGCTAAGAAAACTCCAAAATCCCTCCCTACCTTGCAAATCTGGCTGGCCTGTCATGATATGACTGGTTTTGCTGATTCTGTGACCCTTTTTATGACACAGCTTGTTCAAACCAAAGTTTCTATAACATAAAAAGGGTGTGTTAACATGAACACTGTAAAAATTCTTGATTATGAATCCCAGTGTTCCTGTTACTACGTGTTTAAAGGTTTCTGGTAGCTTCCAGGACAACTGTGCAAATTGATTCATTCAGTGACATGGCAGACAGGTAACTGCGAAGAAGGCTGCATCCAGTCAGCAGTCCTTTAGTTCTCCCAAACCATAGAAACAATGACATGTGCTATTAAGACCTTAACCAACACAGTAGTGCATTTCCACTATTGACCAAGGGTTGCTAATGCCTTCTCTTCTAACAAGGAACACCTGATCATGAGTCAAAGCATAAATGACTGAGCCATAGTAATCACCATGCTAGATAGCGAGAAATCAGCCAGGAGGTAGCAGTAGGTCCTCTGCCTAAGTAGAAGGTCACTCTACTTTGCCATAAGCTAAACTACTGAAGTAGGAGATGCAGTGACAGAAGGAGGGCAAAGGCTCTGGAGAAAAGAGAATGTTAGTCATAATACTGGTTAAAATGCGTTCTAGCCCAATAATTAAAGTATCTAGAAAAAGAAAGAAATCTAGCTGGTTATTATGAAGTGCTTTTATTTTTATTTTTTCCAAATACCTGCCCAACTATTCTACTACTCCATCTCAAAGCATTCCTATTAAGGGAGTTACACCTTTTATAACTCTGTTCTTAAGTCATTTTTTTTTTTTTTTTTTTTTTGAGACTCACTCTGTCACCGGGGCTGGAGTGCAGTGGTGTGATCTAGGCTCACTGTAACCTCTGCCTCCTGGGTTCAAGCAATGCTCTTGCTGCAGCCTCCCAAGTAGCTGGGAATACAGACGCATGCCACCATGCCTGGCTAATTTTTTGTATTTTTAGTAGAGACAGGGTTTCACCATGTTAGCCAAGATGGTCTTGATCTCCTGAACTTGTGATCCGCCCACCTCAGCCTCCCAAAGTGCTGGGATTACAGGGGTGAGCCACCGAGCCCGGCCCTTAAGTCTTATTATCACTATTTAAAAGATAAAGAATCTGAGCCTAAGGGGACTCCATGTTTGGGTCCCCTTCCAAGAACACTCCCTTTGTGGAAGCTGTCTTTCTCTCTCCTGGATTTTCCCTCTGGAGTCCCCTTCCACACTCTCTCGTGGAAGCCTGTCTTCTCCTCCTAAACTCCATCTCTCTCTATTCCCTAACACTCTTGAGGAAGCTGCTTTCCCCTCCTGGATTCCATCTTTCTGAGTCTCTCACTCAGTGTGAGAGTTAGCTGTTTCTTTCTTTCTCCTTCTCCTGTTTCTCTCTTTCTTTAAGATATCACTTTCTACAAACAAACAAACAAAAAAAAAAAGAATCTGAGCCTAGTTAAGTTGTATGACTTAACCCAACACGGCAAATTGATGTCAAAGAATTAGGTGTCCTGGCTCCCAAATTGAAATGTTTTTCTTTATAAAAATGAAAGCAAGAACATCATCTTAGAAGTTCACGTGATAGACTAAAAACCTTTCTACTATGATCTCTAAGAAATCCCAAGGAAAATATGACAAACATACAGTAAACATCATTTTAAATAAGCTTACAAGAAATTAAACAGAAAGGGGCCAGAAATGGAGAGTAAATAGAAAACCAACGCTGGAAGCACATGAACTTAATAGTGCAGGGATAGGTCCATACACCAGGGGCTTGGGGCTTAAACTTGCTGGGGATAGGAAATAAGGCAGAGAACTAAAACTGCGACCTCCAAGTAAAGAAAGACCCTTGAAGTGACCTTGAAGAAAGACTCCCGAAGTGAAACAGTGGGCTTGGAAAAGAAAAACAATGACAAACATATAGGCAGATGGCAAAGAGATGCCTTGGAATAAAAATGTTTCCACTGAGCATTCACATCCCCAGAGTCTGCCCTCATGTGGTTTAGAGTTTTGAATTCATATTGCCTGTATAGTACAGGAATTTACTTTTTCTTTCCTCCAGGAGCTTTCAAGTTGAAACTATGCACAAAAATGAGTTTTAGACCAATGATACTCCTAACGTCCCTAGAAGAAGAAACAAAACCTAACTGGATAGATGTGCCCTCAATCCAGGCAACCTGGGACACCCACAGATTAAATCTCCATGGAAAATGAACTCACAAGCCTAAGCCACAAGACTCACGTGGAAATATTTGCCATAAGCAAGAGTCAGCAGACTGAAGAACCAGCAAGAACTTGAGACCACAGAAGAATCAGATGGAGACCAGGCATGACATTTAAAATAACTTGGCACAAAGGACAAAGCATAAGAGGGAAAACCCCCACTATTTTCAAAAAATAAACAGGATTTGAGGGAAGAGATATGAAGCAAGTATTATGGAAAGCAGTACCAAAACATGATGCTAGATAGCACCTAAAACTTTGGTCTAAGAGGGATCAAAACTCAAAGAGTAAAAAAAGAAAGTGTAGGAGAAAGGAAAAATAAGCACAGGAACTTTGGGGTGTGTTTTGTAATCACTTATTCAGGCATATTATCTAGACATGGATGTTTATTTAGAAGCTATTATATACCAGACATTGTGGTACATATTAGGGATACAAAATTTAAAATACCTAGTCCTCTCCCCCTAAAGAAACTTGCAGTCCACTGATCAGTTTCTAAATGTAGGACA